ATATTTTTTCATGCAAATAAACAACTATATTCTATAATTAGCATATGATGTAGTTTTGTGACGTGTCCTATCTCGAAAGCTCTCGTTCCTGGAAGTCTCCAGAGGCCAGCTGCCAAAAAAAAAATGAAAATATTTAGGTGCAGAACTATCTGATGAAATCGGGACGCAGTTAGGAAATCATACGGTGAGATCCTGGAGAGTAAAAAAGTTTTCCCAACTACAACCTTCTAGGAGCAGTGAGTATGTAGAAAACACATTGCACACGTACCAGCGTATCTATAAAAATAGTGGGTAAGAATCTTCTTGAGCATTCTTCAGTTGTCGAGACTCAGAAGAAGAGGGATCAGTAATGTGGACCCTCGCAAACGAATACTTCTAGCGTTTGGACATGTCAGCTCAGCACTAGAAGGAGAGGAGCCAGACACATAGAGCCACAAAGACAATCATTAGAGAGGCGACATGAACCGAGACATCCAACTACAGAGATAACATGCAAGGTACATGTATCTGTTTTTCAACAGAGACACATTTAGTAGAAACATTATTAAGATGTTAGACTCGACGATAAAACCGTTCGTACCACACAACACTAGAAACCAGCTGACAGTTCCAGACACTTGAACCAGTTAACCAAGTAACTAGAGATTAGGAACACAACGCGACCTCAGTATGTAATCGTAGAGAGAAAACAGCTGCCATTCAGAAAATCACGGATGTTATTTATCGCATTAGAGATTAAATTATAGAGAGTATATTGAAAAGAAGAGTTGTTTCAAGACATTTTATTATACAAGCATCAGAGCAACGTGAGAAACATGCAGCTAACGAGATATTACAGTCATCACCACTGACGACATAATCATCTTTCTCCTGGATTAAATTCTTCAATTGACTCTTTCTATGACAAAATAAAGCGGCGTCGTTGGCTAAGGCGTTGCGAGTCCGACTCGTAATCCAACGTACCGCGATCGAAATCCACTGTGGGCTGCGTGGATTTTTATCGTAGTATTGGACGTCGCAGGTCGACCCAGCCTCAAATGGGTACCAGGATGGCTGTCCTGGGGAAGTAAAGACGGCCAGCGTAATGCTGACCACATTACCCAACGAGTGCCGATTGGTCTGTAAAAATATGGGACGCTCTGCCCATGTACCCGATGCTCCTTAGGCGTATTAAGGGATCTTTACTTTACTTTACTTTTTTTAATGACAAAATAAAGACGAACCTGGGTGTTACATCAACACACATAAAGAAGACTGATGTACTAGAGTTCAAACAATTAACATCAACAATACTGATAACTTTTTATCAAATAAAAACAAATAAGTTACGTCGCCAATAAGTCCAACCTGTGGGTATCAACAGTACTGATAACTTTATCTTACGCACAAGAAACAAATAAGATAATTCGCCATTAATTTGCTAGAGGAAAGAAAGAAGGGGGAAAAACAGAATAGAAGGGGAAATAATGAGGAACATTGTGATTAAGACAGAATATAATAGATTCTCGCTAAACAAAAAATACAGGAAAGTAAAGAAAAGACAGGGGTTCTTCTGCGCAGAGATCCTATAATATTTCACTGAGACCCAAACTATGAATATCTGTATGGTGAGTTACATGACGACGACATAACTACATGGCTACACACACCTAGACGAACCACAGACTACACATCCTAAATTAAATCAAGCAAATGAATAATAATCACAGTAAACAGCTGTTTATTTTACTTAACATAACATTAGCGTGGTCCACAAATAACATTAACAACAACCAACGTGCTCGACCAGGATCTAAAGTACTGACTATCAGCATCTATCAAGTAACTATGGTAATGACACCATACGCTCAGAAAGATTACCTCAACAATCTCAAAAACCGAAACATATTTAACATATAGGTTAAGCTTCAATATGCTAACAAATCACTTATAGCGACCTGCAATCAATCTACCTCCTATCAAGAATACAAAATGGAAATCAATTCTAACACCATCTAACCAAAAGAAACGTACCATTATCTTGAACACGGGCCAGTCTAGCGTCGCTCAGCCGGTCTGATTTAAAACACCTGTGCGTTGAGACCAAGTGCAGTCAGAAACGGCAAACAGGGCGCCTTACCATAAAGCGACATCCAAATAGGAGAATACTGAATGAGTTTTGCCTATTTATTAGGGCTGTACCGAATAGTGATTTTTACTATTCCGCCGAATACGAATAGCGGGACCAACTATTCAGCCGACTACGAATACGAATAGTGTATCATCATTATCAGGTGCCTTGCCGACTGGCATGGGCGATTATGCCTCGCCACAATCTGCGATCTCCTGCTGCATGTATTAGTTCATGTGCTGACACACCTCCATGCCATGCAACAAGACTGTCAAGAATCTTCTCTCGTTGTCTTCCTCTATCCTTCCTTCCGCAGATCTTTCCAGTGGTCACCACATGTTCCACTCTTCTCATAACATGGTCTAAAAATGATGACTGTCTCCTTCTGATGTCTGTGATTAGTTGTCTTCGGACTCAAGCCTCTTACAAAACCTCTTGGTTGCTTTTTGTGTGGCTGTCTATAGTATTTTAAGCATTGTTCTGTAAAACCACAACTCTGAGGCCTCAATAAATTGTTTGCCCTTCCTACCGATTGTCCAGGACTCACAGTCATATGTTAAAACTGGATGTTTTTAGCAAGCAAGATTTCTATTGCTAACCATTAATGACAAAGATATATTGCATCTGATGTTTTTCATTTTATAAAATGCAGTTTTTGTCTGTCCTATTCTGTTTCTTATTTCAGTAATGCATCTTCCATCTGATGTTATCCATTTGCCCAGATACTTAAATTTAAGCACTTGTCCCAAAAAACACCATTGCCTTTTTTGTTTTGTTTTACACATTTAGGAATAATTATTTTCTTTAATACCACTATTACTTTTGTCTTTCCACAATTCAAACTGAGGCCCATTCTTTCACTTTCTAATAGTGTATAGTGTACAAAATGTAGTACAGAATAGTAAACATTGAAAAAATATTTTATGTTTTGTATGCTTCAGTAAGTCAGTCTATGGTAACTAATACCTAGGAATAAAAGTATTCTTAGTTTCAAAACAAGTAACTAAACTTGTAAATTGTCACTGACAGCTTAGTTAATTCATGAAAGCAGCATTACCTTTAAAAAAACCAATAGTTCTCTGTTGTCAGCATTAAGGCAGCTTCTCGTCTCACTGAAGGTATTTCGAGCTGTACTAAACAGACGTTCACTTGGTTCGCTCGTAGGTGGTGCACAAAGATAACGCTTGACAGTATGAACCAAGGTGGAAAGTCTTGACATGTTTATTTTCCATAGGTGCAGAAACGAGTGTAAGATAACCACTATTCGTATTCGGCCCGACCGCAAGTATTCGGCCGAATAACAAATAGTTTTTAGGTCCACTAATCGGCTTTGAAGTGAATATTCAGTACAGCCCTACTATATATACCCAGTGGCCAGATTTTCCCCCATTTTACAGTCTAGGACTAAAAGCTGTTCCTGTAGCCTCTTGGTAAATTTTTAAGCCATATTAAATAAACTCGTTGAGCTGCTGAACAGTAGTCTTTGTCGTTTCCACCCTATCATATATCGGTCCATTATTTTAGTTAAAGTTCCGGCAACTACCCTATAGATAACAATTAAATTTTAAAAATTCTCCACCCACCTCCTGTTCTACATCCCACAGAGTTACTGGCCATAGCCACCTGGAATAAAATCATCCTCCCAACATCATGTAATTACTAGTTACTTGCAGCATCATTCATTAACATTCACAAAAAATAACTGTCACTGACATATGAGCAAAGCATAACTCGTTCCAAGGAAACTGGATAAGGAAAGTATAGGACCCAAATAAGAAATTACATCAAATATGGCAGTAGTCATGAAACATTCAGTAAACATTTGCGTTCGAGTTTTAGCTACCACCTGTAAAATCACTACAAACCCCCTATCTACATCAATGATAGCGATATCATCGGAACACGTTAGCATGTGCGCTGGTATCCGAGACACCAACGGAGTAGAATAAACCCCATCTAATCCGCTCCTTGATAGAGAAATGCATTAAAATATATATCAAATCATCACTGACACGCCAAGCAAAACTTAAAATTAAAACATGGAACTGCAACAGCAACAACAACAAAAAATTATAGTAATCAGCTAACATCAGGATTCTTGATTAGTTGGTTTCCCCTCAGACGTCCAGTGCTTCTTCGTAGATAATCTCTGACGCTAACATGGTTGGGTAACCTAGCAGTTAAACTTGGTGAAGCATGTCTGTGCGTCTCCGAGGTCAAAACAGGAGATACTTTAACCAACTTCTCATGGGAACAATCAGTAGAGCAACTTTGGAGTTGCCACTACATCGGAGGACAGAGCACGAGTAGGAAAACCCAATGCGCAATGACGTCGATTGTGATTACATAACCTCACTCAGATCTCTGAGTCAATGCAAATTATGGTCTCGAGTGAAACCAGATCTGTTAAATAACATCAGAAACTCGTGTCTATATCGACTGCTGACGTTATAATAGACAAGGATGTTCGCTGTACTGTTGATAACTAAAAACTCAAGCACCAAACTATACAACATTGAATGTAATTTATTTTTCCGCCCGTACACACGTATTTCTGGTATCAAAGCTCTGAAAAACGAGCTGACAAAAACAGGCAAGTTACAAACAAAAAACAGTATGGCCAACAATACAACGACTTTTGTAAGTTTGAGGTCCTTGCTTGACATTATCGTTGTTCTTTTAATTGTATTTGTTTTGATTTCTGCCGGACAAACGTCTTCCCTGGAATTCAGGCTTCTTTGTGAAGTCTCTTTCTTTGCGTATCTTTGTCTGAACTTGGTTGAATCACTGATCCCCTGAAGCATAAACCCGGTACATACTAGGATCAGAATATGCGCTAACAGAGGCAGTGCCATTCCATTGCAGGCATCAACGAACAGTTCGACATCACGTCTGTTGTCAGACACCCAAATGTCTAAACGTGTCCTGTTAGTTCTAACATCAAACGTCCACTGCACGCCCTGGGTGGCCCACGCTGAAGAGAAACTAGAAAGACCAAATAAAACAACCACTGCGTTGGCGATAAGAACCCGTGTGGAAGTAAATATCTCCTTCACTTTCAAAGGAAACATAATACAAATGCATCTCTCAGCTGAGAGATACACAGTGACAAACGTCATCAGGACGTAAAAGAATGCTTGAGCGCTACCTAGATACATAAACTGAAGCGATTGCAAGTTTACATTTGCTAATGGAGCAAATTTGTCTACAGCTTGAATTATCTGAGACAAGCAAGACAGACAACAGTTGATTAGACTCCACACAGACAGTGAAATAAAAGAGGCGTTAACACTCTCTCTGATCCCCAGTCTCCAGTAAATCATAATGTTGATGATGTTTGCTGCCACTCCCAGTGACGAGAATATAAAGTTAAAGGCCGTTGAAATGTAGGTAACAAAAAAGAATACAATAGACTCTGATAAATCTGTTTGTGTTAGATCGTAGTCAGAGTTTGGATTACTCTCTGTGCTTAGAAAGACGGCATTTACATTGTTGGTTTTATTCCACAAATTCATTGTTCTTGACTTTGATCCGTTGGCAGCGAAAATGAAACCCTGTTGTAGATAAATATAGGATAATTAGTTTAAAAAAATTAGATATAATATATAATACTCGCCATTTGCACACGCACGAGCTTGATATCTTCTTCTTTGGAGTTCACTCTTTCCTAGACGATTGTCACATAGCCAGCAAAACACACCTTCGCTAGTTAGATCGGTCTATAACATGTACCACACTATGCTAAAGAATTAAAGTTTAAATGTGGAATTTTCTAGCATCGATGAATAGTACTCAGGTCTCATGTATGGGTCATGATATATTGCAGTGAAGATTATAAATTCCTAAATCCATTGGGAGTAAGTTATATTGCGAATTCACTCACGGATTAGTAATTTTAAAACAAGGCGAGGCCATTTTCCATGGCCGAACTACCACATGTATTGACAGAAGAAATCTTTCCCGTCTCTGGCATTGGGACAATTAGGACTTTTTAGAACTAAAGCCTTAATACTGACACGACACCCAAAGACAGTAGACGTGTGAAAGTCAGCTTTTCATTAATTTCAAATATTTTAATGAGAAAGCCTGTTTCCAACCAAGGAATCTCAGTAGTGAATGGGTAAGTTGTACTTTAATTAAAGTGAGTCTTGTTCTTCTATGGCATCGCCAAGGCTTGTACAGGTATGAGATCCTGTCTGTGTCATGCTGACATTATACTCTAATTATTGTCGCAAGTCTAGGGGTAAGGTATATATTTAAAGTATTCCTCTTGGAGACATTAATAGACCAGCTCTGCTCATTTACATGAAAGTATTCTGTTTAGATGAATAACTATGCATAACCTGGGAGGGGAGGGGAAAGCGGGAAAGGCATTGTATTACTTTCTTATAGTGACAGACCATCAGCCGATTTGTTTCGTCAATGAAACTTGGTGCCAGTTTTTAAGTTGCTGACTGGCACAAAACTTTAGGTCTTCCGATTGCAAAATGTAAACATGAATGGCTGCAGTGAGAGATACGAAAGAAGATGGATATTTGCCTTCGTGCTTCCTTTCTGCTTGAATGGTTCGGTATTCTGTATTTCCTTGACCTGGTGTAGACATCCTTTAATAGAACGAGGACAGCTGATATTATTCCTATCATGGGTATGTGCAGTTTGTCCTTACATACGTGGGAGAATGTTGTCATAGCAAAGTTCACTACTATCAACTCTAACTTTAGGTGGGAGTCTATTACACTTACTCTCAGGTCTGATTCTCTCATGTGAAGGCCAATCACTGTCATCTGAGCGCCTAAGACTAGGGGTGTGTGAAATAGAACTGAGTGAGAGAGGTACAGATGTTTCTGGTTGTTAACACCTGCGGCGTTGATTGGGGCTAAACTAGATGGCTGGGACTCACGAGCAGCAGCTTCGCATCTCTTGCAGCTTTGCTCGTGAGTCCCAGCCTGTGTCGGCGTCCGCACAAAATTCCGTAGCTATAGTGACGTTCCTCCAGAGTGTTAACTCTGGTGCCCAGTTCCTAGAAACTGGGTGAACCCCGGGATACACCCTGGTTCGAACACCGGCCGTGGGCGGAAAGGAGTCGCTGGATTTGAAAGCGAGTTTCCTAACGACTGCGTTAGGACGGTGTGTGTGTATGCACGCGCGAGTGTTGGGGATGGGTGAGGGGGGTGAGTTAAATAGACCCTAGATATCTAAACAAGGATGTGGTAAAATTTGACTGTTTGTTCAGATCGAATGTGTTCGGTCGAAAAGCTCAGATCAGATATCGCAGCCTAGCTGTGAACCACAACATATATTTTCTACTTTTAAAAGCCAAACTCAAAGGGAGAGAAGGTGGAAGAAGAAGAAGAAGTAGTAGTAGAAGAAGAAGAAGAAGAAGAAGAAGAAGAAGAAGAAGAAGAAGAAGAAGAAGAAGAAGAAGAAGAAGAAGAAGAAGAAGAAGAAGAAGAAGAAGAAGAAGAAGAAGAAGAAGAAGAAGAAGAGAAAGAAGAGGAAGATAAAAGGACGAAGATGGAAAAGAAGAAGAAGATGGAAACGAAGAAGAAAAATGAACGCATTAGAAGAAGAAGAAAAAGAAGAAGAAGAAGAAGAAGAAGAAGAAGAAGAAGAAGAAGAAGAAGAAGAAGAAGAAGAAGAAGAAGAAGAAGAAGAAGAAGAAGAAGAAGAAGAAGAAGAAGAAGAAGAAGAAGAAGAAGAAGAAGAAGAAAAAGAAGAAGAAGAAGAAGAAGAAGAAGAAGAAGAAGAAGAAGAAGAAGAAGAAGAAGAAGAAGAAGAAGAAGAAGAAGAAGAAGAAGAAGAAGAAGAAGAAGAAGAAGAAGAAAAAGAAGATAAAAGGACGAAGATGGAAAAGAAGAAAAAGATGGAATTGAAGAAGAAAAATGAACACATTAGAAGAAGAAGAAAAAGAAGAAGAAGAAGAAGAAGAAGAAGAAGAAGAAGAAGAAGAAGAAGAAGAAGAAGAAGAAGAAGAAGAAGAAGAAGAAGAAGAAGAAGAAGAAGAAAGATGAGGAAGAAGGAGGAGGAGGAGAAGAAGAAGAAGAAGAAGAAGAAGAAGAAGAAGAAGAAGAAGAAGAAGAAGAAGAAGAAGAAGAAGAAGAAGAAGAAGAAGAAGAAGAAGAAGAAGAAGAAGAAGAAGAAGGAGAAGAAAAAGAAGAAGAAAACACAGTAGCGCTGCTAATATCAGGAGGTCATCAGGAGGGCTACTGCGGTCTGTAGAAGTCGGATGTGTCGGTCGAAAGGCGCAAATATCTCAGCAATGTTGCTAACGGGCACAACGCATGTACACCAACTTCCTCTTTTGCGTCAGCTCTGTGATGACAACCAGTTTACGGCACGTGCCTGGAAGGGTAGCAGTGACCACTATTTATTATTCGTTGTAAATGCACAGTGCCCTCAATTTCTACAATCAGCTTCTTATGGTGCCCTCTAGCTTTCACGTCAGATCTTTACAGGTGTTGAACCCGTGTCGGCGGTAGCTATTGTGGTTGCATTTTAACGAGATGGTTAATTTGTGAAATAATTGTCTAGTGCTGTGCGTCTCCACATTTTGTCTGATATTTTAACTTCTTGCTCGGCTGCAGGTGGTTAAATTGGCTGTTTTTCTCAGACATTTCACATTGGTTAGTTGCGTATCCTTTACAGGACGTTGCAGAGCCAGCCCCAACAGCCCCTGGCTGCAGGGTTGGCTGTTGTGTGATTTTTCTAGGCAAATTTACATTCAGTAGTTTGCATTGCCTCTAGACGGTGGGCTCTCTTGGTACCACAGTCTAAACCAATGCAAGGCGCATGACCCGCAGTGGGATCGAACCTGACATCCTGACATTACAAAGCTTTCGCATCGACTTAACCACAGAGCCGACTTCACTTCACATTACATGTCTCAATTTTACCTATTAGCGTCTTTGTGTTGTGGTAATTGAACAGTAGTTTACTGAACGTTTGCGTGTGTGTGTGTGTCCCGCTTTACAGCATATACAGTTATTACTTTCATGTTCAAAAGAAATTTGTACAGATAATTCTTATCAACTTCAAGTTTTAGGCTATCTTAGATGTTAAGCAGTTATTCTCCCTTTTTACAATAATACCGAACGCGATGAAAGAACTTTCACTATTGATTTTAAGTTATATGATTGTTCCGTAGAAAACTTAAACTGCTTTTTGATTCTCAGCGTGTACAAAGGGTGATTTGCAGCGGTAAAAATTGCATACTGTTAACTGAATTTTACCTAGTACAAAGTCATCATAAACATGACAGGGTTACAGAATTAAATTGAAAAATAATATTAGAAAGAAGTTATTCAAAGATCTTTATTACTTTTGAACGCAAAATCAGGAATGTGGTGTTCAAGGGAAGTCAATTTTTTAAAGACTTACTTACAGGCAATCGCTATTATTATGTTTTTACCAAATAAAGAAAATATCATAAGGAGCTTCTTTACATCGAGCACAAATCCGCTTGTTACATATCACTGTACAGTAAAACCTAGCTATAGTCCGTTCCAAAAAGTCATGCCTAAAATGATAACAAGTATCTCGAAAACTTCTCTACACAAAAACGAAGTTTTGCATATGATCTTAGATTGACCGAAGACCTTATGATGTTGTTTTATAAAATACCGTTTAATGGCTTTAAGAGAGTAGTATAAGAGTTGGACCGCGGCAGAGATGTGGTCTTCACCTCGTGTTTTACTTAAAGTCAGCAGCAGCTTCACGTATTCAATGCAGTGTTCTTTCATTGGGGAGAGTTAATTTGAGCTGAGCTGAGTTTAGTTGAGTTGAGTCAAAAATTGATATCACAGCACTCGGGACATTTCCATACGCGCTCCGTCCCCACCCTCAGTAGCCATCGCAGAGTTCCAATACTTATGGTGCCAGTCGTAGTCTGGTTGTATGTCTACCTTTCCTTTCCTCAAAGCGTAGTGTGCCGACAGAACCTTCTGGTCACACCCATGTGCATCAATCTCTCCAGCCCATAATAATCTACTTTATCTTCTGACTTCGTAACTTGTTCCCAAAGGGTCTGACCCCATCTGCCTTGTCATGTATCAATTACCACTCAGCAGTGCAGATCTATGCAATCTGTCTGCTTGTTTATTCCCCACCACGCCGGCATGGCCTAGAGAAAACATCCAAAGTATGCTCACTACTCGGACCTTGCATGTGACCTTCCCTCTCAGTACAGAACCATCTGTGTAGATAATCAGATCACCAGGACGAGAATTGTCGTGAATCAACTGTTGGACTTCCACCTCAGTAGTTTATGCTGGCCACTCTCTGCACTCCCGGCCTAATGTAAACATGACCTTACATATGTTAGACTTTTCCTCTGGTACTCTGACCCACTCCTCTCCTCGCTCAATGTTCTCCAGCATGCATACTTGTCTTATTGTGTCTTCTGCTTGAGCCATCCATGATTTTCCGATTTTCAGCCTCTGACGCTAAACTGCATCCAAAGCGTCATACAGAGTGTGCTCTTTATCCCCAGCTTTTCTGAGATATGTCTTAGCCTGCAGCACTTTTAGCCTATCTGCAGTAGTCGGTAAAGCAAGGATATATCGCATGACTGGGGGGAAGACATTAACACAAAAATGCTGGTTTTAAGAGAAAAAAAAAAAAAAAAACCACAGCATTTGGTTCGGGAGAATTTGGCTCTCACATGCATTATTTCTAACTGAATCTCCTGTCTGGGGAGATTTAATAGCCATTTGATACGCTACATGCCGTATTTACGCGTCTATAGGCCGCAGCCAATTTTTGAGACGATAATTTGAGGGCAAATATTTTTTCTTAGATTTTCTCCGAGAGACTGAAACCGGAGTTGCAGTACCTGTAAGAAGTGAAAGTTGGTCCGCGTGAAAGCAAGTTACAGTTGTAAGTTTCCGTTTCCAATAGTACTTCGAGCAGCACTTCAAGTAGTACGTCGAGTAGTATGTCGAGTAACATGTAGAGTAGTAAGCTTGTAAATTTAAAGCCAGTTTTAGTTTGGCAGTGGCTTAACGGTATCGAAGTGACCTTCTGATTAGTCGGCGGATAAAAAGGGCGATTTCACGACATCTATCAACACATAACTTTGAGGTTTGAACAACGGATAAACACACATCAAAGTTATTTCTTGGTAAAGTGTTGTGGTTCACAGCTAGGCTGCGATATCTGATATGAGCTTTTCTGCCAAACACATTTGATTTGAACAGTCACATTTTACCACATCCTTGTTTAGATATCTTGGCCCTATAACCCCCCCCCCTCCCTACACACACACACACACACACACACTCTCTCTCGCTTGCATACACATACACACGCATATACCTATTGTTCCTAGAAACAAGGAAACATGGTTTTTTTAATCGCCCACCAGTGCGATATTGAGATAGTGAGGGAATGAGTGAAATCATTACAGCATTCCGAAACCCCAGAGCCACAGTGCCATGGTGAGTGAGTGAGTGAAATCGTTACGGCATTCCGCAAAACCCAAGCCACGGTGCCATGGCGAGTGGGTAAGTGAAATTGTTAACGGCATTCGGCAACCTGCAGCCACCGTTTCAGGCTAAGTAAGTGAGTGAAATTGAACCCCAATTAGTGATTAACGTCCTGTCACGAAAAGCGTAATGTGAATTCACTCGGATGTGAATCCCCCGGGTCAAGTCCTAGAAACCACGCTTAGCAGTAAGGTTATATTAGGGCCCCCGACAGATACAAGGTAACCTGACGTCTAGACTTAATGTTGTCAGGTAGGCCACATAATGTTGTCAGTAAGTATATTGTTACTAGGTAAGAGTTAACTCCAAAGAAAAAGATATCAAGTTCGAACTAGTACAAATGATGTGTGTCTATATTCTAACTAATTTATTCTAACGAATTATCCTATACCTACAACAAGGTTGTTTTTTTTCGCCGCCAACAGATTAAAGTCAAGAACAATGAATTTGTGGAATAAAACCAACAATGTAAAGGCCTTCTTTCTAAGCACAGAGAAGAATCCAAACACTGACTACGTTCTAACACAAACAAATTTATCAGAGTCTATTGTATTCTTTTTTGTAACATACATCTCAACGGGCATTAACTTGATATTGTCACCACTGGGAGTGGCAGCAAATATCATCAACATTATGATCTACTGGAGACTGGGGGTCAGAGAGAGTGTGAACGCCTCTTTTATTTCACTGTCTGTGTGGACTCTAATCAACTGCTGTCTATTTTTCTTGTCTGAGATAATTCAAGCTGTAGACAAAATTGCTCCAATAGCAGATGTGAACTTGCAATCGCTTCAGTTTATGTATCTATATTACGCTCAAGTATTATTTTACGTCCAGGAGACGTTTGTCACTGTGTATCTCTCCGACGAGAGATGCATTTGTATTATGTTCCCTTTGAAAGTGAAGGAGATATTTACTTCCAGACGGGTTATTATCGCCAACGCAGTGGTTGTTTTATTTGGTCTTTCTTGTTTCTCTTCAGCGTGGGCCACCCAGGGCGTGCAGTGGACGTTTGATATTAGAACTAACAGGACACGTTTAGATATTTGGGTGTCTGTCAACAAACGTGATGTCGAATTGTTCGTTGATGCCTGCAATGGAATGGCACTGCCTGTGTTAGCACAGATTCTGATCCTAGCATGTACCGGGTTTATGCTTCAGGGAATCAGTGATTCAACCAAGTTCAGACAAAGATCTACAAAGAAAGAGACTTCACAAAGAAGCCCAGATTTCAGGGAAGACGTTTGTCCAGCAGAAATTACAGCAAATATAATTAAAAGAACAACGATAATGTCAAGCAAGGACCTCAAACTTACGAAAATTTTTGTATTGTTGGCCATACTGTTTTTTGTTTGTAACTTGCCTGTTTTTATTAGCTTTGTTCTAAGAGCTTTGATACCAGAAATACGTGTGTACTGGCGGCAGGATAAATTACATGCACTGTTGTATATTTTGGTGCTTGAGCTTGGAGTTATCAACTATACAGCGAACATCTTTGTTTATTATAACGTCAGCAGCCGATACAGACACGAGTTTAAGATTCTTTTTAGTCGGTCTGGTTTCACTCGAGACCATAATTTGCATTGACTCGGAGATTTGAGTGAGGTTTTGTAATCACAGTCGACGTCATTGCAGATTGGGTATTCCCACTCGTGCTCTGTCCTCCGATGCAGCAGCAACTCCAAAGTTCCTCTACTGATTGTTTCCATGAGAAGTTGGTCATAGTATCTCCTGTCTTGACCTGGAAGATGACACAGACATGCTTTACCAAGTTTAACTGCTAGGTTACGCAATCATGTTATCGTCAGAGATTCAACATTACCAAACCCTCCCACCCCCACCCCACACCCCTAGCCCAATCAGCGCAGCGTTAGTGATATCAGCTCTCTACTAGCTTCTTCTCGTTTGTATTGGTGCATTAGTCGCCAGCTGGTCAGCTTTTTCATTACCATTTCCTCCTGCGGGCCCAGGAGTCTAGAACCAGATTTGCTAACATTGACAGTCTGCATGCACTTATAGCTGAATATTAAGGAATGTTTAAGAGGTAAGCAGAAAACATCGAGATCATTATCAAAGTGATGCCTCTCAGAAAGATTCCTGTATTCAGTCTACAGCACCCTCGATTGTGTCCTTTGCTTTCTCTTGCACACGACCCTCTCCCTCGCCACATCTTTTTACAAGGAACTGTCTATGTCTTTATGACTGAAGTACCTACAATATCTGACCTTGTATCCACTCAGTGACTTTCTCTCCTCATCCGGTTTTGTAATCCCAGCATGCTGTGTGTAATGATTGAAAGACTGTGCAATTATAAGCCTCTTAGTAATAACTTTGTGTATACTCAAAATTTGAAATAGCGAGACGTCATCAGCTGTGTTTTAGTTGAAAGAACTTGAAGTCAAAAAGTCTTGCTAATCTCGACATTTCCTTTCCAGATCCATCACTCGTGAACTGGAAATTTGATATTTTTCATGCAAATCAATAACCATGTTCTATAAATAGCATCTGATGTAGTTTTGTGACGTGCCCTATCGCGAAAGCAATCATTCCTGGAAGTCTCCAGAGGCCAGTTGACAAACGAATGAATATATTTAGGTGCATAACTATCTGATGCAATCGAGACGCAATTAGGAAATCCTACGTTGAGATCCTGGAGAGTAAACAAGTTTTACCCAACTACAACCTTCTAGAAGCAGTGAGTATGTAGAAAACACATTGCACACCTACCAGCGTATCTATATAAATAGTGGGTAAGAGTCCTTTTGAGCATTCTTCAGTCGTCGAGTTTTAGAAGAAGAGAAGAAGAGGGATCAGTAATGTGGACCCTCGCAGACGAGTACCTTCAGTTGTTGGAGATGTCAGCTCAACACTAGAAGGAGAGGAACCAGACACGGAGAGCCTCAAAGACAACCATAAGAGAGGCGACATGAAAGGAGACATCGAACTACAGAGACAACATGCAAGATACATGGATCCGTTTTCAACAGAGACACATTTAGTAGAAATATTAGTATGTTCGAGTCGACGATCAAACCGTTTGTACCAGACAGCACTAGAAGCCAGCTGGCAGTTACAGACGCTAGAACCAGTTAACCAAGTAACTAGAGATTAAGAACACAACGCGACCTCAAGAGTATGTAATCGTAGAGAGAAAACAGCTGCCATTCAGAATACCACTGATGTTATTTATCGTATTAGAGATAACACTAAAGAGAGTATATTAAAAAAGTAGAGTTGTTTTAAAACATTTTTTTACAAACATCAGACTGATGTGAGAAACATGCAACTAGCGAGATAGTATAGTCATCACCACTGTCAACATAACCATCTTTCTCCTCGATTATATTCCTCAAATTGACTCCTTCTATGGCAAACTAAAGACGAACCTGGGTGTGACATCAACATACATAAAGAAGACAGATGTACTACAAATCAAACTATTAACATTAACAATACTGATAACTTTTTGAAAAATAAAAACAAACAAAACATGTCGCCATTAAGACCAACCTCTGGAAATCAACAAAACTGATAACTTTTATCACACAAAAACCTGGCATGTTATTAAGTATCTTTTCAATTACTGTGTATCAAAACATTCATTTCGACAAGTATTTAATATTAATACTATACGTTCACGTCATCAAGTGTAATAAAGAAGCACACTAAGAAAATGCGTGTAGGTGTTGCATTTAAGTTGAAGCATTATGTTTTCATTCACCAAAACATGTTATCTCACTTAGTGAAAGCCACTCGTCGTTTAACGCCATTAGGAAGTCAAAATAAACCAAAACAAGACATTCACATTTTTCTTCTTCTCTACCAAAACTAAACAGGTTGATCTATACCTGGGGAGTCAAAATAAATCAAAACATGACATTCACATTTTTCTTCTTCTCTACCAAAACTAAACAGGTTGATCTATACCTTGACAACATTCTCATATCAAACAATACAAGTTTCATTTACTTAGTAATCAAACTGAACAGAAGGCTAACATGTGACCCACACTTTAAAGAAACCCGACGAAAAGCTATGCATAAATTAGAAATAATGAAAAACTAGCAGAAACCATCTAGGGAGCTGAAAAACATCACACAAAAACCATGCAAGATGTATGCCTTTAGTCACAGAATACAGAATGGGAGCAAATACAAGTGCAGTACATTCACATGTCCAAAAGCTCGACAAAATACAAAGCTCTGTGTTCACAATTATGACAAGGTGTCTTAGAATTACACCTGTCATGGTGCCGTGTGGAAATACGTCAGAACTATTCACAGAATTACTTTGTAAAGTCGATTTGGTAACATCAGCATTGAGTTAACATATTTATTATTTGTTTTTGAGAATAGGAAATAGCTGATTTTAGCATCTGGCCAATTTAACTGCCAGGAAAGAACAAGTAGAAAAGATTAGATTTTGAGTAACACAGTATACCCAGCTACATGTGTAACGCACTATATGATATTCCAACATTCCTTCCGCAAGAGCGTATGAATATTGAGTTAGCTTTTCCCTAATAGCAGGGAATCGAGACCATATTTGTTAAAATCTTGGACTGTCATGACTTGATTCTGTATTGCTAATATCTGTGACAGTATTCTCCTGTTCCTGAGGGCTGAAAGGAGCTGTGACTTCAGTTGAGGATTTTCTGTGAAAATGGCATTGTCCTGACAGTCAGATGGAGGAGGTTTTTCTGATGAGATTTTATAGCAGATAGACCACAATGGCGGAACCATCAGAAGTGATGTTGGTGATGATCTTACTAGAACAGGCAGGGATAAGACGTATGAGAATATCGTGCAAGAAAACGGTATAAAGAGTATGCTGAAGAAAACAAAAGATACTAAGATCATAGGAAGATACTGAGCGGCTCGCAACATACGGATACCACCAAGGCAATCACTCTCGCTCGCTCAACCGTCTGATAAGCAACTTGTGTCTCGTCTCGTCACACGCTAACTACCCATTCGTTGCCTGATTCTCGATAGCTAGATACTGGACAACGATTACCTTGATATTAGGCTGAGCCAGTCTCGACTAAGCTATCGGGGTCGTCTACGTTTGGGTTATTAGCAGCCCGTATACGAACCACTATCGAAACGATTGTCTGGATACTGACTGGGGAGCACACTTGATGTCCTTTTTAGGATACTCAACAAGTCTTGCCGCCCTTTCAGTTGAAAGCTTTCGCCAAGAACCTGATTAGCCAATCTACCCGCACTGACAAGATGGAACGTGGCCGCGGTAAAAACTGGCAGCAGAAACCGAGCCAGAACCAGCGCCGAGATACCAGATCTACATCGGCCAGCAAAGAGGAAGCACCTGTCGTCGCACCAGCCCTTACGGTGCAGACGATGCTAGCACTGACAGACGTCCCTATCGAGACGCCAGCCTCGCCCACCCAGACGCCGCCAGCCTCCGATGTAGCACCTGTCGAGGCACCAGCACACACAGAAGTCGCCCCAGTCGTGTCGCAGGGACCCTCCAACACCCGCCCACTCAGGCAGCAGCAGCAGCCACCGGGAGCCCACATTACAGTTCTACAGTGTTCACGCTGTAATAAGGCGTGGCACACAGCTGCATCCTGCCGCAGCAGCCCAGCGTGCCGCTATTGCTCCAAGCCGCACGAATTCAAGGAGTGTCCCCCTGGCCAAGTTGGACCCTGATTTTAAAAAGCTAAACACTAGCAGACGATGCTCTAACTGTAGAGGGGCCCACAGCGCGAGGTACATGTGCTGCACTCACCTTAAAAAGTACAAACTGCAAGCTGCACTACCGAGACGAGAGAGAAGAACAGAGAAGGTGATCCCAGTCACAAACGACACTGCGATAACCCAGGAAGTGGCAGAACTCAAAATCGCAGTCCAGAAACTGACAGCAGACAGAGAGAAGGCCACCGCTGAAAGACTCGAGATGCTGGGACTATTCTCCCAAACACTCGACGAAATCAAAGCCCAAAAAGGAGACAGGATAGCAGAAGCTGCGCAACAAACCAAGCTGCTGACAGAAATCAACGAAGCAAACCAAAAATTCCAAGACCTTCTGACACAGCTGAAGACAGATCAGGACCAGGCAGCAGTCTACCGTCAAGCCGAACGAGATGAAAAAAAGACCGAGACGGCCTTACTAAAAGAAGTTAGAGAGTCCAGGTACAGAGAGGTCGCCCTGCTAATCAAAACAACAGCAGAAGCAGAAGCCGCAACACGAGAAGCAAAGCAAGAAAGAGAACTCCTACTCGCAGAAAGAAGCAAGGCACCAGCCGTAAAACCACGCATCAGCAGGGCCGACAAATGTTCAGCAACGGAAGCAACAACAGCAGAAAAAAATATCAACACAAACACAAGAGTACCCAGACAGAATGGCTCAAGTCATACCAAAATTTCCAGAGGTGGGCACCGTAACCACCGATGCTGACCTCCAAGAAATAACAACAGCAGAAGTAATACCAGCACAAACACAAGAATTCCCAGAGCCCAGTTTGGTGAAAGAAATTAAAGAGTGCGAGAAAGATTCATATGAGCTGCCGGAGAAGTTAGCCTACGACGAAGTTAATCAAGCCTATGCACAGCAACTAGCAGATCTAATAAATAAAGCTATCGACCCTCACTCAGGTCATTGGGACTACGAGCTCAATGCCTGGGTGGAAACGCAAGACGAAGGCGACACGACGGACGAAGAAGGGCTCGTCAAATGGTGCTCCTCATCACGCCTCGCATGGAAGAAATACCAGAAAGATCTACTACACGAACTAGTCAGAGCCCCCGGCATTTTACGTGACAAGGAGGCGAACAACAACAGCAGCACCAAGGTCAACCCCAAACAAAGACGACGCAAAATACTGAACTAAGGAAGATCACCCGCACAAAAACAGGGAAAAAGCTAACTCCAAGGCCGCCATCTTGTAGGAACAGTATCAGCCCAGGCCGCCAAGACAACAGCCCACGGCAAGCACCCCAAGCCAAAAGCCAGCCGACATGTTGACTTACCACAAGACTACTCTCGCCCACCCGATCCAGGCCGTCCCAGGCACCACCTAATTAAAAGACAGGAAACTACATCTAACTGCCGTCTGTGACGTTAAGGCGGGGAAAAAAAAGACAGGACCCCTGTGTGGCTTCGACTAATTGGGGAGCTTCCTTTGAAGTCGCAGTGTATCTGTTGGAGAGGCAAGAAACCAACAGTCTGTATTCAAGAGAATGAAATCTGTAAAACTGATGCACACGCAACACTCAGGTTCTGGAGCAGGACTGAAGTTCAGTAGTGGACGAGCAACCAGAACTTTCCGCCAGAGTGTACAGCTGGTGAACGCGAAGAAGAAGAAGAAAAGACAGGAAACTGCATCTAACTGCTGTCAGTGACGCTAAGGGGTAGGATAAAAGACAGGAAACTACATCTAACTGCTGTCTGCAACGCTAAGGCGGAGGATAGAAGACAGAAAACTGAATCTAAATTCTGTCTGCGAAGCTTTATGGCATAAAGAGTAGGACAAAAGAAGAATCAGCACTCATAAGGGTTGGGGGGGGGGGGGGGGTGGGGTTGGTTGTGTGGTCAACATCGTGTCTGTCTTTTCGCCCCATTACAAGACCAGGTAGTTAGTTAAGGCTGGATCTGAACCTAAGATTTTTCTTTGACGAGGTGAACATCTGACCACTGCACTACTGCTCCCTACGATGAGAACTGCTTGCATTGAAACAGCTATCTATTTCCTTAGCACACCTTTTGTTTTGTTGTTGTTTTTTAAATAATTGTTTCGCTGTAAATATAATAATTTCGCGTGTGGACAGAAACCATCCTTATTATGTCTACATGCACAGTCATAACCTTGTAAAATAAAAATAGTTTTGCCAACAGAACGCCATTCATATTTCCCTAGACCTGTAGCTTATTTCCGTACAGGTGGCTCTTCTTCACAGGACGTTGCAGAACCAGCCCCAGCATTTTCTGGCTATTTGTGATTTCACTAGATAATTTTACGTTCAGTAATTTGCCCTTGCTTACTGGACTGCTCTAGACGATACTATCGAAACCAAATGCAAGGTGGTCTGCAGCCAAATTGACCGCAGCTGGAATCAAGCCAGGCACCTTGGAATTACTAAGCGCATTCGCAACGTCGAAGCCACAGATACCGATTCTGTACGTAGCTAACAAGCTACGTTACTTGCTTGTGAACTCTTATGCTACACCTCTATAAATCATGAAACAATGCTAATTTTAAACACACACACACACACACACACACACACACACACACACACAAACACACACACAAAAAACTAAATTTTTTTTGGTCAGTTGATTGGCAGCTAAATCAATAATACGTGCTTGCATTTTGCTGTAGAGCTTATTAGGTTTCCGTTGTTGTTACATCCAATTAGCTGTGGTTTCTTTTGATCTGGTGTTTTTCATTTAAATATGCTACCCGTTTTACAAATTTTCTGCTTACTTTTATGACTGTATCCTGTTATTATATAACATGTTAACATTAGTTTTCTAATTACCTTCGTTTACATTGCAGCTATCTTACGTTTTGCGAAAACAAGTTTTATTGATTAATTACTGTAATTTAGTTCAGGGATAATTGCTAACGCGATTATATTGTGTTGAATGGAAGGTAATGTTTGTAATTGTCTTAATTTCACAGTTTTCTTTTTAGAACACGTAGGTGAGTTAAACTTTGCATGTGTATGTATGTGTTATCTCAAACACTGAAGTCAATTACATCAGAGGCAGAAGTAGAGAGTAAACAGGGAGGCTAGCTGAAATGATATCATACGATGACTTCTGATGTCAAACTGGGTTCTTCTCGAACATGTCCGTCTAGGTATTCCAAGGGTGCAGCCACTGTCGTTCACATGATGTAATATGTTTCGTTCCCAGACAGGATGACTTCCCACGATGAGACCTTTGGTGTGGTACTTCCACTAATTTAGCACACCTGCCGGAACACTCTAGCCGAAGCAGCCACTTTTCCATCCCAACCGTCGGCTTGGGTACCCATATCGATCTAATAATGACACTGATTCAGTTTATGTAGCACATGGCTGATTCGTCGATTTTAAATATTGGGTAAATGTGGCTGCAAAGTGAAGTGTGTCCTGTTCTAAGGCGTAGAATAATAACTTGCTCTGGTCTGTCCTTAAAATAGTAATCGTCTTGCGCCGGTTTTGGTGGCTTTCTGATTGATTTGATTATCACATGTGGACTGGCACCTGAGACAAGAGATCGTGTCCTCAAGGACTGTCCCAAACGCAGCATATCAAGGCAAAACTTTTGGCCAAAAGAAACATCGGTGCAAGTCAAACTTAACTGCGTAAATTACAAAAGACAGTGAAGTGCATACTAGACACAAAACTACATATATAGATAATCTATTTCAAGCGAACGAAAGAAGAAGAAGAAGAAAAAGAAGAAGAAGAAGTTGATGCAGCTCATTCAGAGTAAATAAGTAAATATGCCAAGTACAACTGTTACACGCCACTGAATTAATTAACATAAATTATCTTTACTGCCCAAAATATTACTTTTTAAGGTCGTTTTGGATTCGTGTCTTTAGCCTGAGGATTTTGATCTGCTTGGTTGGTGCAGTTGCCATGAAACGTGTAGGGTAAAATATGTACTACATACAGATAGAAGGAAAAAAACTGCAATCCCCTTACTGAGGATTTAAATTGTGATCTGCTGCATAACAGCCCAACGTTGTTACCACTCAGCCAGCAGCTCCTTACCTAATTATCATACTTAATTCGGTACTGCCATAACTCACAAAATACTTGCTCATTGTATGAGAATATCTCAGCAGTGCGTCAAGCTAAACAATGGATCTAGCTACTCGTGAGACCGATGTAGGAGATGTCGCAACTGTTAACCAAATAGTCAGTACCAAGCAAGTGGGGAAAATTGTCACTGACGATGCCATCTTTTATTTCAAAACCTGCTTCCTTATTCTCCTGGGCGCCCTCTCTTCCATGGGAGTGACAACAAACATCATGAACATCACCGTGTACTGGAAGCAAGGGATCAGAGACAGTATCAACATCACATTTATGGCGCTGTCCATGTGGGATCTGAACACTTGTCTGATGTCGGGTCTGTCTGCGGTCAGCAATATCTTAGAAATCTACGTCCCGGGTTCAGATGTGAGCTTTATAGCAATTCAATACGTGTATTTTGGTTACACCCGAGGGTTTATGTACGTCCTGTCTACACTTGTCACCAGTTATCTCTCACTGGAAAGATCCATTTGTATTATGTTTCCCTTTAAAGTAAAATCTATATTTACAGCCGGTCGTGTTGTCCTTATCAACTTCATTACTGCCCTATTTGGTCTGGTCTGCTACTGTCCAGCTTGGGCAACGCAGGGAGTACAATGGGTCTTTAACCCGAAGAACAATCGGACTCGTTTGGTCTACTGGCTGTCAGAAAACAGACGAGACATTGACTTGTTTGTTGACACATTTAACGGCATGGTGCTGCCCCTTCTGGCTCAGCTGCTGATTACGATCAGTGCTGTGTTTATGATTCATGGCGTTCAGAAATCAGCAAAGTTCAGAAATCAAACTGTTGACATAAAGACACCAGTAATATCAACTTCGAATCGTGAACCTCCGCCAATATCAAATGCATCACTCTCTCTGAAGAAATCTAAAATAATGACAAGTAAAGACATCCGACTTACCAAAGTTGTAATATTGATAACTATTATATTTTTTGCATGTAATTTGCCAGTTTTTGTTGTTGCGTTTTTGCGATGGTTAATCCCAGATTTGGACATTGGCAAGCCTCAACAGAATCTCTACGCGGTGCTTTATGCATTCGTTTATCTGTTCGGCGTAATCAACTCTTCAGTAAATATATTTGTTTATTACAATGTAGGGACAAAATACAGACAGGAGTTTCTGCGTCTTGTACATAGTATTGCGTGCGTATTGAAAAAGCAATAAACATTTCATGAAATATGATTTATTATAAAAGAATTGTTTACTTTGCCTGATTATTATTTTTTTTTTTTATTTTTTTTTTTTGGGCAATCTACAGCCCACACACTAAGTGTGGCATTTAGAACACGTTGTTATTAGCAAGCCGAGGAAATCACAGAAGGGTATAAATTTATGTCGTTCACATTTTTTAAATTAAAAACATTTTAATATATACTAGCTATACCCGGCCACGCGTTGCTGTGGCATAGTTTGGCTAAATGGAAAATAGAGATCATAGAAATCTATCTTCGCTTCACGCCAGTGATGTACAGTGCAACAGCTAAACCACAGCTAATAATAATTTGATTGGGTAAGGCAGTTTCTGTAACTTAAATCTATCTCAGTAAACAGTTTATTTTAACCACCCATCCCCCAGTTCACCTACTACTTTTTCCCTCATCGAAGTAGTTGGAAAAATTACCCTAATGAAAAGCAATGAAAAAAAAAAAAAAAAAAAACCACCATAATTACGAAATGAACACACAAATCAATCTGGTTTTCCGACGCGTGAACAGGCCACATATAGCTGTCCATGTGAAAAGCATGGATGTTCCAAATGTAATCCACACACTTGTAGCGATTGTCCCTGTGATTTTTTATGGTCATTGCAAAGGCGTGTCACACCGGAAACTGCAAGCGTCTGAATTCAAATGGCATGTCTGTTGGAATCATTGGGATGCGTGGCAATAGTATATTCTCGCCCTTAAATTTTCCATCTAAAATTGTACCTTCGATGATATTGGGCATCAGCTTTTTCACTGAAAGCCTGGTACCATCGCCAAGACGTGGCAGATTGATGTTTCTTAGAAGAATGATAGGCACGCCAATTTTGAAGGTTAAAACGTGTTGTGGCATGCCAGGCAAATCAAGTGAATTCAAGAACTCAGTTGGATAATTGACAACTTCATCCTTATTCATTACAGCATCGATAGACTTATACGTTGTCACTCCGCCTGGTAATTTGTCTTGGATGTTCAGATTTATGGCATACATATCCTTGTTTTTAGCTGCTAGGATAGCACGTTTACTGAGCCACTGATGATTTATGTATTTCTGTGTGATATTAGGGATAACTTCGTCCTATATAATGAGTTGACATACTTTGAGTACTTTACCCATTGCAGAATTTTGGTTGATATTGCATGTTGGTGTCTTAGTGACATGCATATTTAAAGGCAACTTCAGTGCTGAATGCGCTGTTCGGTCACCATCCAAAAGAGTTGCGGCAAATCCAGAAGATGCGATTGCCAGTGCAATATTATTTTGTGACCGTATGGATGCCAAAATAAGCGAAATAAGAAAGGTCTTGCCTGTGCCTCCGGGTGCATCTATGAAATACAATCCTCCGTGTTGTCTTGTAACGGCATGCATAATTGTGTCATATGCTATACGTTGTTCAGTAACCAATTCTGGAAGATTTGTTTGAACAAATGTACCTAATTCGGTGACATCAAAGTGTGTCTCTCGTTGCAACTCACGATCGAAAAGGTTGTTTGCAAATCGTTCTGGTGGAGCCAGTCGCAGCTGAATCAGTGCTTTATTAGTTATTGCCAAACATATGTCCTCAGTGCAAACCAATACCTTATTATATTCATTTGGTGTGAATTGAAGGTCCTGATCTTGCTTCGTTTCACGCCAGCGATGTAGGATGTCTTCACTCATGTAGTCTTTGTATTTTTCCCAAAGCTCTTTTGGATTGGATGGGAAGCAAGTTTTTAATATTTGTGCAATAATGTGCGTATTTGCTGTGGTCGAGCAGTATTCGAAGCATCAGCAAGTGAAGTGTCCCAATGTGCATCATTTTCAAGAAGATTTAATTCTTGGCAAGCTTCACGGTAAGTAGCACATACTTTACCATAAACTGTTCTCAAGTCCTGGAAGGATGTCTGTCCACGTTTGTTGATTAAAAGTAATCGCATGTAAAAGCAATCTGCATTTTTTGGATGAACAGTGTACAGACGGCCTAAAACATCAGTAGAATATAAATTAGGATGTCCGTCAACTGCTTGACATATGCTTAACTACTTTTCGTCCTTCTTAGGACGTTATTTTTTGTTATTTGAAGCCCCACTCTGGCTTTTGCCAGGGGCCGCAATATAGGCAGGTCATCATTATGGCCAAATGTCTGAACGCGGTTTCTGGGACCTCTCCACGGTGATCCTCATCCGCATGGTGGCACTTTGTGTCATCGGGCGTTTATCGCTTGTGTGATGTCCTGGTGGGGTAAAAAAATCCAACTGCTTGACCTTGCTTGCAACGTTGAAACTTTTTAGCTGATGCATACCACGTGTAGTATGTTGGCAGGTCAGAGTGAAGTAGTGTCTTTGCAAACATATCATCACTACACAATGAGAAAAATCAGTTAACGGGGTTGGCAGTGGTAACAATGCTCGTGCATGTGCATTTTCTGTAGTGAAGTACACGCGCTGTCCATTTTCAAGGTGCACTGCCAAATGAACAACTGCTGGATGTCGTTCATGAATTGGAAATGACAAAATGCGCCATACTGCTTCATTGCTACTAATGTAGCGCCCCAGCTGATATTGTTTGATTTCATCGATAGATGCAGCTGCGTGTCCCACTCCAAAGACTGCCATATCGCCCCCTTTGTTGACATATTTGCAAATGTACTTATGTTTGCCAAGAAATGTGTCGACTGGCCTGTGTCACCTGCTACCAATGATGATAATGGTTCGGGTGGTGAATGTAATACTGGCAATTTAACTTTTCCACCAGCGCAGCACATACCCGGCGTGTCATTCTTAAATTTGAAGGCTCTGTGGATGAAGACTGTAATCATAGTTGCTGTTGTAATGGAATACACCAACATTCAAATCAATATGGGGTGTTTGCCTGGATAAAGTAGTGCGCATTCGAACGGTGTCAAGTCTTGCTTTCCGTTGCTCGACTGTGTCTGATAAACGAACTTGAGCAGTGAGTACTCTATAGGTTTCCAGTCTTGCTTCTCGATGTTCGTCTGACTGAGACGATCTGGCTTCAGCAGTGCGCACTCGAACGTTTTCTAGTCTTGCTTTCCGTTGCTGGTCTGATTGAGATGAACGGGCTTCAGCAGTGCGCACTCGAATGGTTTCCAGTCTTACCTCACGTTGCTCGTCTGTTTCTGAAGCAATTAATGCCCTTCTCTTGCGTGTTGTAATTGTAGACGGGCCAATTGCTTGTTGTTTGGGAGGCATAACTGCAAATTTTGACAAAATAGTGAACAGCGTGTGAATTTAGTGGGCGCTGATCGTAAATAGCTTGTTCGTCCTCACGCACTGAATGAAATGTGATTTAAAGTATCGCCCATGAAACCATTGGTTGTGTACATTAAAGCAGGTCGTCAATCGGTTGTAGACTGTGTGGTGTTAAGGATATGTTCGTCTGTCTGATACAACAGAAAGGCAGAAATTCGATGCTAAACCCAAGGGCTGTTGTATACTAATAGTCTACAATATGATCTCAGATTAAGTGTACCAGTTACCAGCTTCCCCACCCCTCTCGCTCTCTCTCTCTCTCTCTCTCTCTCTCTCTCTCTCTCTCTCTCTCTCTCTCTCTCTCTCTCTCTCTCTCTCTCTCTCTCTATCTGTATATGTGTATGTGTCTGTCTGTCTCTCTCTCTCTCTCTCTTGCTCATTCCCGCTGTCTTATTTCAATGCAATGCCTACCAACTGCAGTAACACTGCTACCGCCCCCTAAGACTATCGGCAAATTTGCCCCAGACCTTTGCCTCCCCTGGACCGTCCCAGTGCCATCCGGGGGCCTTAACGCCCACTTTGGGAAACACTGGCCTAGGCGTTGTGAACGCGCTTCGTAATGTCCAGGTGCCTAATTTGATTCCAGCTACGGGAGATTTGGCAGCAGGTCGCCTTGCTCTGGTTTCGCCAGTGGTATCAAGCGCCAACCTTGAGTGACACAATGGTAAACTACTAAACAAAAATTACTGAGTGCAGTCAGTAACAGCTAACACATTATTGGTGCTAGTTCGGCAACATTCGTTAAGACGCAGTTAACTTTACCATTATTTGAATGTATTTTCTTTTCTGTGCTTTTACACGCTTTAAACATGTTTATGATTGCAGAAACAAAACTACAATCACCGATGCAAAATAATGGAGCCGTTTGAATGCAACACAGATGTAACCGGGATCATATTGTTTAGTACTCAGTCCAGTGTCCGGCAACAAGGAAACATTATTCCCGGTGACGTTTTTATCTACATGCGAATATTTTATTTATTGGCACTTCGATTTGTGATTTCCACACGTGGGATGACGACAAACATTCTAAACATTATTGTTTACTGGAGACAGGAGCTCAAAGACAGCGTCAACATCACGTTCATGGCTCTGTATATGTGGGATTTGAACATCTCTTTCTTCACAACCATAACAGTGACCTGTTCTGTTATAGATCTGTACTTTACCGTGCCAAATGTCATTGTTATGTCATTAGTTCAGTATGTTTACATTGCATACGCAAGAGGATGTGCATACGTCCGGTCCACACTTGTCACTGTGTATTTGTCAGTCGAGAGATGTACTATATATCCGTTTCAAGACAAAGATATATTTACCCCGAGTCGCGTTGCTCTTATCAATGTTTTCATCGTTGTATTTGGTGAGACGTTTCTCTCTCCTGTGTGGGCAACACAAGTTCTACACTGGATGCATGATCCCGACATAAATCAAACTAGACTGATTCTATTGGTGTCAAACAGACGTGACACCGACTTACTCATAGATACATTTAGTGGTATGGTGCTGTCTGCAGTCACACAGCTTCTTTTCATCGTCTGTGCTATATTCTAAATTCATCATCAAATGTGTTAACTATTTGTGTCTCAAGGAACGCATCATACGTTCAAAGGCTCCTACCTAGAATCCTAATGAACGCATGATGGGCAGATTTTAATACTTTGTTTACTACCCCCTGGGCCTGTGATGCTAAACTCCCTGGGACTCAAA